TTTCAGAGCTAGTAAATAAAAAATATATTTAATTTATTCAACGGGTTTTTTCACTTATCTGCAGGAATCTATATTTCAATTCCTATCACTGTTTGCTCTACTCCTAATTCGATGGTTTTCAGTTCAAACATGAATCATTAAGAAAAAGTAAAAATGCTGCATTCACTGCAACATAAAAAATAATAATAAATAGAAAAATGTTAAGTAATCTGAAAGTATTATGCTATCAAGAACTATTCAAACACCTCCTTTCAAGGCTCAGTACAGCAAAAAGGATGATTTTATGATTCAATTTTAAAAGACAATCTACATGAAGCAATTTTTCTCCCCTTAAAATTCCCTTAATTAAGATAATGTTTATTCTCTATTGCCATGAGGGGAAATAACTTGCCTATTTTGTTTATTGATGCATCTCCAGCCAGGACCCTGCAATGTGGTCCCACACAGTGGAAGAAAATACTTGCAAATCATATATCTGATAAGGGATTAATTTACAGAACACATAAAGAACTTCTACAACTCAAGGGAAAAAAAACTAATTAAAAAATGAGCAAAGGATTTGAATAGGTATTTCCCCAAACATATACAAATGACCAATAAGCACATGAAAAGATGGTCAATGTCCCTAATCATTAGGAAAATGCAAATTAAAACCACAACGAGATATCATCTCATATTTGTTAAGGTAGCTATTATCAAAAAAACACAAAACAGTAAGCAGTGATGAAAATATGGAGAAATTGGAACCTTTCTGCATCACTGTTGCAGGTGTAAAGTGGTGTGGAAATCAGTATGGCAGCTCTCAAAAACTTAAACACAAAATTACCATATGATACAGCAATTCCACTTCTAGGTATATACTCAAAATAACTGAAAGCAGAGACTCAAACAGATATTTGTACATGCATGTTCACAGCAGCATCATTCACAATAGCTAAAGGGTGAGAGGAATTTGTCAATGGATGAATGGATAAACAAAATGTAGCATATACATAACATGAATACATAAAATTCCGTCTTACAAATGAATGAATAAGGAAGGAAATTCTAACACATGCTGCGACATGGATTAATCTTGAAAACATTATGCTAAGTGAAATAAGTCAGACACAAATGACAAATATTGAATGATTCCATTTAAGTGAGGCACCTAGAATAGTCAAATTTATAGACAAAGTTGAATGGTAGCACTATTGCACAACAATGTGAATGTACTTAATGCTACCGAATTTTACATTTAAAAATAGTTACTTTTTGAAATAGTAATAATTGTTTTAAGCAAAATGGTACAGTTGATCGAGCCTTGAATCAAGAAAGAGAGGAAGAAATTGAGGCAATGATATTAATTAACTTTGTGCTCTTAGGCAAGAAATTTGACCTCTCTGGGACTCAGTTTTCCCATCTTTGAAATGAGAAGATTGTAACAGATGTTCATGTTTCTTTTTTGTTCAAAACATTCCATAAAAGCGCATCTTAGATGCCAGAACCAAAGCTGAAAAATAAGTCTAACACCAATCAGGTGGAGATAAGAGAATTAACATCCCATTTAAGTCTTAGTAGTTTTAAGGCATTTAGTTAAAAGGAACGTTAATCACAAAAGCAGACTGATGAACACAGGTTTGGAAGGAAGATCTATCTCCAGGTTCATTAAAAACACCCACGTATAGCTTCTTGAGGCCTCAAACTGTGGCATTATTAAGAACAGGGCAGTTGAACAAACATCATTTTAAGCCCTGGAAGGTTACTTATTCTGTTGATAATAAGTATTACTGGCAATTTTTTTTAGACTTGAAGGCCCCAGGATCCATTAAAACTAAAAGAATTTATCCTGGTGTCCTTCTGAGCTGGGACAAATGATGCCTTCAGTTTCAGTTCCAGGGAGGCAAAAGGACCAGTATCTGCCTCACCTGTCCTTCACACACCAGCCACATCAATACCATCAGTCTACCGGCACCACGTCCCATAACTTCTAATTAACACTGAACTCAAAGATTTCACAGAAGCATTTTCCCCCTACAAATGATCTGTTCAATAACTTTGCTAGTTAAAACCAACATTTGGCACTGTGCTAAGTAAAAACTGGAAACTTAGAAGTCCCTCAATCTTAAAAAGAAATAGTGTTTTCACACATTTCTCTGAGAATGAAAATGCCTCACGATATATATAATAATTATATCAGAGAAGAAACATTCTTAGGCAGAAATCCAAGTATAAACTTCTCATAAAAGCAAACTTTGATTAAATAAAAGAAACAAATTTAGAGCTGCTCAATAATGGTTGGCCCAGAAAGTACCTAACATTCTCGAATAAAATGTTCAAACAGTAGATAGATGACTATAAACCAAAAGTATGTCATAAAGACTCAGTAACGGGGATAATGTCTAAGATTCCACCTAGTGCTAATATCCACAATTTTAAGATCAGAATTACAATAATATCTACATGCTATTAACTAATACTAGCAGAGTTCAGCTTTATTAGCTAGTTTGTCGATCCTTGGAAATTTACTTTAACTATAGGCAAGAAGCATACTGGGCCTAAAAAACTGATTAACAAAAGATTATATATGTCCCCTTCACTCCATCAAGTAATAAAACAATCAAAGATGTTCAAATCAGACAATCCTCCACGAAAATCTTGTGAGGCTAGTGTGTGACTTTGGACAACTTATTTAACCTCTCTGAAATTTAGAAAGAGTTTATAAGAGAGAATATCATCTTATCTCAAAGGACTGTCATGAAAACTTTGTTAAACTAGGTACCTAGGACTGTATAAAATAATACAGTATGCTCTTTCAGATTCTATCCATTCCTCAATAGCCTGCTTAAAAATTACCCCTCCATGTTTTCCATGACTTTCTAAGCCAACATACTATTTCTATACTCCAAACTTCCAAATATATTGCATATATTTCTCTACTAATAAAATCACACATTTGAACCCTCAATTGTAGGACAAAGTGAATTTGAGACTATATTTTAGTTAGACTTTAACAAACATGAAAATGAAGAAATGGGACTAATGAATATTTGATTAACTGGTTTAACTATTTTTAAGTGTTCATATTAAAACATTTAGATATCATTGCTCATGGACAAGTCTAAGGTAGAGTAACTTTCCAAATTCTTCTCTCACTGTATTCAGTGACAGACACATGGACATCTGTCTCATCCATTAATGTCCAATTCTAACAGGACCTCATCTCATCAGCTACCTCTGACCTCCCAGGGAAATTGTCTGCTTTCTTTAAACTTATAGGACATACTGCTTAAGCAGTATTTTATTGAATTCAAACTGCACTAAAACCAATCAACATCTCAATTTATTAAGGTTTGTCTTTATTTTCAAGTTAGAGTTACTAAAGATTTTTTTTTACATTTATTATGAAAATTTCAAGAAACTATTTCAAATCAATATACTTCTAAAAAGCATAGCAAAAATACCACTGAAATAACATAGAAGTAATCTTAACTACAAAAAAACAAAACACATCCAAAAAATATTGGCATTCTGTGATCTCATGCTTTCAGTATTTAATTGGAATATTATTTCTAGATGTCTGCAGGCATATTTTAAGTAACATTTGACAGTATTCACAATAACCTCTTTGTATCCTTCAACCAAGCCTTACTTATTTAAATATTGATTTTATATGAAGGCTATAATCATTTTGAAAAATGTGGACTTTTTTAAAGAAATTAAGAATTTTCTATGGTAAATTGCACTGCTTGCCATAAAACTATTTCAGTCCTAGAAATGATAAATTAATCAGCACATAACTGAGATAATACTTTTCACAAATACCTATGAAAATTGATATCACCATATCAACTGTGACATATCCCAGTTTATTTCTTAATAAATCAGAATATAAAACTTGGCTCAAATGCAACATACCATATATGCCAGTAAAAAGTTAAATCTATATATAACATAATAAATAACATGTGAGAGGTATGGAGGAGTAAGGACAAAATGAAATTTATCATAGAAATTAAGAATTAATAATGGTTTCATTTTATAGAGGAATTGATACTAAGACTTAACTACAACTTTTAAAAAATTTTTCTGTATCAGCAGGTAAAGTTTCTTGAAAATATGAGCAATTATTTTATAATTTCATTTTAAAAGTTACATATTATTAAAGAAACAAATTTTTAGCAACTGAAGTATTTTAGATAAGAAATTAATGCTAATTTTCTAAAGGTTATGTCATTTTTAGTAAAAAACTAATAGAAAAACTATCCTGCAAAAATAAGCTTACTGATTAGAATGAGAACGCAAAAGATATTCTAAATCACATTTTAAATTGGAAAAATGGTTCACTAAAAATTAATTTCATATATTTAAACATTATTTTATATATTTAAACAATATATTAAAAGCATTCCTTTAAACTAAAAATTTATAACTGGTAACTACTGGCTTTCTTTCTGTAAATCTCTTTGAATTGAAGGAAATGTGACCTCCAAATATAGCACTCACTTCTGAATGAAAATGGTAAGGGCTACAATCAATTTCTTACAAAATATAGCTACTAGACATGTAAATACATTCTAACTCTATGTATTGGGTATACTTTTGTCACTGGCTATGAATATATATAAAATTATTATTTAATAGATACATACTTTGGTCTTGAATATTAATTTATAACTTTTTAAAATCTTTATACCCCTCTCTTGAAAAAAAGGCACTTGGTCTTACAGTTCCTATTATAATCTGAAGTAGTATTTTACATACATCCAACATGAATTAACAGTTATTACCCTAATAACAGTTATTGCTATCACAAAAGACACTATGAACTAACAGATTTCAGACACTTAAAAAAGATTTTTAGTGTCTCAGTAAAAGTACAAGTTTAGATATTTTTTTCTAAAGTTTTGTATAAAACTAACATAGGCATAAGACAGAAACATTTGGGTGTTTTTTTCCCTCCTAATAAATGGAAATTAACATAAATCACATTTTAACACATTTTAACATGTAAGACTTACCAGTACGTGGGGAGTTTCAGAAGTTTACCATAAAGAGCAGTGCTGAAAGAGGGAATAATTGGTACAGGTAAGCAGTAAGATCCACTGCAATCCAAAGATGTCAGTCCTGCCTGGAAACCAAATATCTAAAACAAAAAGAAAAGATCCAAGTGTTCAGACAAAGTTTTAATAAGTACAGGATGAAATACATCAGTTTCAATTTGCTTTACAACAGCTGCATACTAAGTATGTTCCAAAGCCTTTTTCCACTTCCCAATCAACATTTTCTTCTATACAATTTGACAGTAGCTCAAAATTAACAAATTTAAATATACAGTATTTATTTCACACCCCGAAAGATCACTGCATTTTTGACAAATTTTTTTAAGTTTCACATTTTACTTCTATACATACTCCTCCTGTACTGTTTAATTATCTGCTAAAATATACATTTTTCCATAAATATAAACCACTGACTGCATTTTCTACACTGTAAGCTATAAATTTTATAAATTAATTTTAATATTTTATGACTAAAATAACATTAACTACAAGAAAAACTGTTTAAAAACGTATTTTGTCTTCAACTTGTATAATGTACACACAAAAAGGATATCAAAAAATATCCTAAAATGTTATTTCTTTCCACTTTCTTTTGTGAAAATAATTGTGAGATTGAGGTTTTAAATCCCAGGAAATTTGGTATATGGCATAAATTACTCTTCATATGTACAAGCATGTTTATGCTTAAAGCAAGCAGATGATACTACAAAATTTTATAAGCAACCCCTGAAATTCCTGGGTACTATATTTGTCATAATAGAAAGAAAAAACATAACATCACATGTTACATGAAATACTGCAGAGAACTGATGATATTTCTGCGTCAATTATTTCTAAAACAACAAAAGATAAATACCTCAGAGTGGAAAAATACACATGGATACAAAACAAAGGGTTAAGTAGCTTAACCTCAACATTTGTCTTTAGTTATTATTTTTTATCCCTTGGGTTTATAATGCACTGACTTCCATATCTCTAGAATTAATTTATATCAACTGTGAAGTTCTATAACAAAATATGTTTAAAATTTCTTCATAACTGATTTTCAAAATACTATTTAATGAGCATAAAATAATTATCAATTTCTTTAACAGTATTAACCTACTTCCAAATAGTTTCAAAAAGCTACTATACTCCTGACATTCATCAAAATGACAATGTCAAATTATTTCTTACACACTCGGTTTAAGTGAAGAAAACAACATTTTAGAAATAAAACTTTTTAAAATTACATTTTCAAGGAAAACTGCATTGTAAAGAACCTACTTATGTAATTACTATCAAGGAAAATAAAAGTGATGCACCCATCAATACCTATAACCTGGTATTAACCAATAAACAACAGGTACAGAATTGAGAAAGAGATTTGCTTCTAATACTGAAATGATTACTGAAAATCATAACTTCAAATTAAGATATTTCACATTCATTCTTTTTTAAGACCTGTTCTGAGCAACAATGTATGCAAAGTACTCTGCTGGTTTCTGTACAATTTCAGGATTTCTTATTTCCACATAAAGGCCCAATATTCAAAGGATTCTGGAATTTACAGTTATTAATATAACAATACAAAACACATTTTTAAAACAATGTCCAACTGCCAAATATTTCGAGTTATGAATAAAGACAATATTTTATCACCTATGCTCAACTAAGAACTCTCTCAAAGCCACTGTCGAATTTTCCATTAAATGCCTCAACAGTATAATCAGACACTATCTACCAACTGTACTCAGAAGGAAATTGGGTGTAGAGGAGATCCCCTGCTGGCTGCCTGCAGAAATGCAAAGGGCTTCGGGGAAATTGCATACTATTCTGACATTTTTTTTAAAGCCTTTATTATATTTTTGTGTTGTCTAGATATGCTTCTAAGAAAACACTGAAGCAAGTGAAATTACAATAAAAGAGGACCTACTGGACAAAGAAGTTACCTTCTAAATATTGCCAAGTTATTATGAATCGTATTTCGCTTTCTCTATTATCCACCAAATCAACAAGAACAATTTAAAAATAAAATTTTAAGCTCTCTCTTTTAAACTATAGCAATCAGATACACAGATTTACAAAACCTATATAACCTAATAATTTGTCAACATCCCTTGACCAAGACGATAAATACTTAATCTGGAAAAAGAAGAACCAGCAGTGTAAACTGAAGTTGCTTTCATGAAGGATAGTTCACATATTCAAAAACTGGTTTGGTAAATGTTGTAAACTAATAGTCTGGAGCAATAAAAATGTATGAAACAGTAAGTATAACTACCAATAGAAATGTTAGCCAAAGGAAGTTGTAAAGTTGAATAAGAGGACTTATACATCTCCTTAAATAAAAAGTTAAACATGTATTGCCACCTGTTTTTAAAAATCCCAATTAGTAGGCCGGGCGCAGTGGCTCAAGCCTGTAATCCCAGCACTTTGGGAGGCTGAGACGGGTGGATCACGAGGTCAGGAGATCGAGACCATCCTGGCTAACACGGTGAAACCCCGTCTCTACTAAAAAATACAGAAAAACTAGCCAGGCAAGGTGGTGGGCGCCTGTAGTCCCAGCTACTCGGGAGGTTAAAACAGGAGAATGGCGTAAACCTGGGAGGCGGAGCTTGCAGTAAGCTGAGATCAGGCCACTGCACTCCAGCCTGGGCGGCAGAGCAAGACTCCGTCTCAAAAGAAAAAAAAAAAAATCCCAATTAGTAAATAAAAATAAATACATCATCAAGATTTTAACATTTTACAACAAATGTTCTTGAATTAACATCTCAAATAGAAGAAATGGATTTAAAAACATTATAAGGCAACTTATTTCTGTAAGATTTTGCCAAAAATTATCATAAATTAAAATTTGCTATTTTAAAAAGACAAAAGTATAAAAAGCACATGCTAACTATAAATGACAACAAAAACATTATAATTATGACATACAATAAATAATTTTTGTTACTGCCATTATAAAACACATGGTATAATAGTATAATCAGCATTATAAAGATTTGTCCCTTCCCTAAAGGGACAAGTAAACATTTCTTTCATTCAAAAGTTGGTATGTATGCAATAATACACTGAAACACATGAAAACTGAAGAAAGAATAACAACTACAGTTGTACAGCATAATAATGAACATTTAACAAAGAAAAACTCTTCAGGGGAAAAGAATGAAACCAAACTCAACCACAGAATTTTAGAGCTCAAACTGCTTAGAGATTATTTAACTCAATCATCTCCTTTTACATGCCGGAAAAATGAAGTCCAAAAGGATTAGGGACATCTTTGAAATCATATATTGCAGTAACAAGTATATGATGCTTCATGTGATGTAGCTCATCTATTAACTCACAATTTCAGCCGACTTTCCTTCCGCCCTCCATTTCCTCCTTCTCGTCACCTAAAAATAAATGGCTGATTCTCTATTTATTCTCAAAGCAAAATAATCTTTCTCACCACCACCTTCCCCCTTCAATCATCAGTAAAGCTACATTTCTCTCCCTTCATCAGCAAATACCTTGAATGAATAGCTCAGAGCAGTGGTCACCAACCTTTTCAGCACCAGGGAATGGTTTCGAAGACAATTTTTCCATGAACGGAAGGTTGGGGGGATAGTTTCAGAATAAAATGTTCCACCTCAGATCATCAGCCACTAGATTCTCATAAGGAGCGTGCAACCTAGATCCCTCACATGCGCAATTCGCGACAGGTTCACTCTCCGATGACAATCTAACACCACCACTGATCTGATAGGAGGCAGAGCTCAAGCAGTAATGCTTGCTTGCTCTGCTGCTCACCTCCTGCCGTGCTGTCAGGTTCCATGGCCCAGGGGTTGGGGAACACTGCTTACACTCTTATCTAGAGATATTTAAATTCCAGAGTTGAATTGGAATGTCCAAATCTTGTTCACAGTTGCTGTTTTTACTGTGACTTGGGAAATCACAGCTGTTGGGGGTCCCTGGCCTAAAATTTGCTATAACGTTTTCATCACCTATTACTTCCTCTTTTTTTTATTATTATTATTATCATACTTTAAGTCCTAGGGTACATGTGCACAACGTGCAGGTTTCTTACGTGTGTATCCATGTGCCATGTTGGTGTGCTGCACCAACTTTATATTAGGTATATCTCCTAATGCTATCCCTTGTCATGTACATTAGGTATATCTCCTAATGCTATCCCTCCCCACTTCCTCCACCCCACGACAGTGTGTCATGTTCGCCTTCCTGCCTCTGTAGACTCCACCTCTGGGGGCAGGGCATAGCCAAACAAAAGGCAGTAGAAAACTCTGCAGATTTAAATGTCTCTGTTGGGCAGCTTTGAAGAGAGTAGTGGTTCTCCCAGCACGAAGTCTGAGATCTGAGAACGGACAGACTGCCTCCTCAAATGGGTCCCAGACCCCCAAGTAGCATAACTGGGAGGCACCCCCCAGTAAGGGAAGACTGACACCTCACATGGCCAGGTACCCCTCTGAGACGAAGTTTCCAGAGGAACGATTAAGCAGCAACATTTGCTGTTCAGCAATACTCGTTGTTCAGCAGTCTCCACTGCTGATACCCAGGCAAACAGGGTCTGGAGTAGACCTCCAGCAAACTCCAACAGACCTGCAGCTGAGGGTTCTGACTGTTAGAAGGAAAACTAAAAAACAGAAAGGACATCCACACCAAAACTCCATCTGTACATCACCATTATCAAAGACCAAAGGCAGATAAAACCACAAAGATGGGGAAAAAACAGAGCAGAAGAGCTGAAAATTCCAAAAATCAGAGCGCCTCTCCCCCTCCAAAGGAATGCAGATCCTCACCAGCAACGGAACAAAGCTGGATGGAGAATGACTTTGACAAGTTGAGAGAAGGCTTCAGACGACCAAACTTCTCCGAGCTAAAGGAGGAAGTTCGAATCCATCGCAAAGAAGCTAAAAACTTTGAAAAAAGATTAAACGAATGGCTCACTGGAATAACCAGTGTAAAGAAGTCCTTAAATGACCTGATGGAGCTGAAAACCATGGCATGAGAACTACATGATGAATGCACAAGCTTCAGTAACCAATTCAAATAACTGCAACAAAGGGTATCCGTGACTGAAGATCAAATGAATGAAATGAAG